CAATCATATCCACTTTTTTCTTTTAAACAAGTAAAGCTTTTTCTTTTCCTGTGATATTATGAGAGGCTCTTTAGTTCCTTGATCATCTCAATAGTCTGCTTTCACACCTGCTCCGAAGAGTATTTCTCTGAGGTGTGGCTCTGTGTGCAGTTTCCAGTGAGTTTGTATTTCTACAAAGCACTAATGTTTGCCCATCCCTTGTGGTGTGTATCTGCCTATGAATTCTAGAGTCACGTCTGTCTTTTTCAAAACCATGCCTATATGGTTTCCAAGAAGTCTTTCTGTTAACTCTCTTAATTGTTTTCTGTATATCCAAGCTTGCATTTAAACGATTTCTGCACTTTCACATGCCATACTTATCGTTGCTTACTAATGCTGATTGTGTCTCTCAAAGGGCAGAGTGCAGTGGTGGGAACTTCTGTCATATTTGTAGAGGCTGATTTGGTGGCTGATTCCCACCATGTAGGTTTCATCGGGGCATGAGGAAACATGGAACATGGATTAGGATGGCTTTGCACATTGCAGCCCTAAATGTCAATATCAAGTGGGTTTTGAAGATCAAAATGCAGCAAAATACTTCTATAAACGAATTCAAGAAGCAAAATACTAGCTCTTGCCAAAGTCCAAAAATTATATTTTAGCTCTGTTGGTTCTTTTTTCATTGCAGTACAAGTGAAACTGCTTTGAGGCAAAAAGTATGGGGAAAAAATGGATGGCAGGAGTAATACAAATCTGATAGGGTGTTGTGGCATGTAGTTACCACAGCTGGCTCTCACGTATGCTTTAGCCCCAGTTCTCATACATTTTTTGACATAAATATGTCTAAAGTTGGTTCAAGTGCAGGCACTTGCATTTTTAGGCTTTCTGAGATCTGTGAGAAAACTATACTTGATCTTTATTGCAGTGTCCCTGTTGTGGTGAATCTTGAGCATGGCAAGTCACAGTGACAGTAATCAAATCAGCTGGTGACAGTTTAGACCCACTAAGGGCTTGCCTAGAAAGGGGGGGCTGTAGAGGCAGGGGAGCCCCTGCATCTGGAATCTTTCCTTGTCAGTGTTTTAAGACTTAGTGAAACAGAAGCACATGTATCTCTCCACCACACTGCCCTGTGATGGTTGAGTATTCGGAACCCCTGATTCTCCATTCCAACCTAACATAATGAGATACAAGTTGGGTAAGTTAAAATTCTTAATTTGACACAGGTATTAGAGAGAGTTATTCTGGGTCAAATGTATGTGGATTAAGTTAGCCCACATCCCATCTCTTTGGCCAGGTAGAGAGATGTAGGAAGAGAAGGATAGACCAGACATGAACCCTCCCAGGCTTTCAGCAGCAGAGGGTTCAGAGGCTCACTAACCACGGTGGTCAGTAATCACTGAGACTTCTGCTGTGTGTGTTACTCAGGTAATTAAGCATATATTTACATACCATCTGAATACTTAGCTGTCCACTGCAGCCTGTGGCTGAGTTCCAAAACTGTTGTGTGGCAATAATATTTCCTTAATTCAAATTTTATTTGGTGCTTTTCAGTTTCTGTGTTATGAGAAACAGCAGATAATTGTTCTATATTCATCTTCAAGACATTTATGGGTTTGTATGTCTGTCGTAGGCCTGGAATATTTTAGGCTATTAAACCTTTTTCAGAAGCTATTTTACACCTCTGCTTGTGCCTTTTTTTCATTTCTTTATCCTTAACGTACTTTTTTTTTCTTGTAACTTCTATTACAATGTAGGTTATCATAGGCATAGAAATGAAGAATGAACTAATCAAAATTAAATCCTGGTCTTTTACAGCCTGTGCATAACGTAAGCACTTGTTTGGCCAGTAGGCTTTTAAACTTTGAAGATAGAAGCAATATTTTTGTTCTTAAAGTAGGCATTTGCAGCAGTGTACAAATCTGTATCCTTTAGAATACCTCGGAACACCAAATGAGTATTTTTTTTCTTACATTAGTAGATGTGGTGGATTAGTATGTAGTATAGGAGCTGTCATATTTAAAACCTGACATCTTGCATGGTTAACACAATTGCAATATAAGCGGTTTCTGTTTGATCTTGCAAAGTGGTCATTGTGGTTATTATAATTGGATTTGAGCTATAGCAGAGAAAGAGGAATTAACGCCGAAGTAAGAAAAAACAACAATACTGCAGCATGTCAGAAGCAGCATTATATGACAATTGTAAACTTTGAAATACTGCCACCTGATGAAGAAAGTAAAAGGAAGCTAACTTGAGGAAACTCTGAGGTGTTTTATGGAACTATGGGTATAGGATTTCTTGCAATATTTCAACAATATTCTTGCTTATATTACTACTGAGTTTATCAAGGCATAAATTAGTTCGTGCTTCCATGTTTTAGCTCAGACATCACTGAGGTTTGGGTTTTCTGAAGCAACTTCTGCACCTTTCAGCTTTCTTTTCAGCGAGAAAATCCTTGGACAATTCCTTATTTTGCTGTGTGGTTGCATGAATTTTTCTGCTGACACAAGAAGATGTCCTGCTGTCACTCTTACAACTAAAGCAGCAGTATGTTCACTGGTGCCATATAACCACTTAATGTGAAAATATGAGTCAACTTTCCTTTATTAATTCTACTTTTTCTTCCACAGAAGGCAATTATCTTCCTCCTGAAGGTTTAAATTGAGCTTTTCTAAGCAGTCCCTTTCAGTTGAAAATAAATAGCACTAGTATAGATAGCAACTGGGGAATTGCTAAATAGGTCCTACAGATTTGGCTTCCTTTTTAGTTTTTCCTTTTTCCAGGCCTATTCTCATTTTCTACTTTATTCTGAGGTTTGCTCAGCTCCTCAGCTGTGCATGTCCTCAATGCCAGGCTCACACCATTCCTCAGCAGTGGAGCATGCTTCAAAATTCCTCCGTACTGCAGTGCTTTCAGGCAGTGATGGCCTTAGATAAAGTGCAGTAGATGCGTATTTGGGTTCTGACTTGTGCACTATATTTGCACGGAAATAGCAGAGCAGTTCTAGTGTTGTGTGTAATGGAACTTAAATGATGCTACTTCAGGGCTTGCAGAGCTATGCTTGCAAATTGCTTCTGCCCCAGAGCTTTTATTTGTCTGCAGCAGGTAATTGCACTCAGTTCTGGTCTGTCCCTTCTGTGGAAATGAGGATGTTTCCTGAGTCGTCACGTTCTGTATGGAACAGAGTTTAAAATGTATAGTGGGTAATGTCGGCATCTTGCAGTTACGCAAGGCTCTTAAGGTGCAGTTTGACTTACAGTGTGCTTTCAGCTGTATCAGGGTAAGGATTCAAATAAGTGTATGAAGAGAGGTTGTTACAATGGCTTTTAGCTGCAAGGCCGTGATAAGGCTAGTAGCAAGGCTAAATGTTTTGGGCCATTACTGAAGGTCAGTGTTGAACAGTTTCAAGTGCCAAGGAACCTCATGTGTTTGGTTGAGTCTTTCTCGTCTTACTTGTCCTGCCTCCACAGCATAAGCAGCATCTGCAGGAGGTGTTTGTAGGCCAGGGGACACTGGGATGTGGTGTACCTGTGGATACTCTACATCACTTACAGAAGCCTATTCTTAGTGCTGTGTCTTTCCCAGCTGTGTTTAGGTCCAGATTCACATGTCTTTTCTGTGACAGGTACCTGCTTGTCCTTTTCTTAAGGCACGTTTCCATAACATGACTGCATGCAGGCATATGCTAGTTGTCACTCATCTGTTACGTGATCTGCTGAGTGGAGCTTCATGCACTGAGGGGTGAGGCTTAGGTATGCATCTGCTGAGAGGTGTCTGTCTAAATGTGAATGTCCAATTCTTGTGTTACTGGAGGAGCAGTTTTCCTCTCATCTGGAGCTTCTTTACTGGGAAGGTGCAGAGAGATCTTATGTTTCCCTCATTCCTCCACAAGACTTCTGACTTTGTATACTGTTGCTCTGCTTGATTCTGCACTATTCCAACCTTGGTTTATAGTCAACATCTTAGAGCTGCTGTAGCTCCTGAATCTCTTACAGATAAGAGATCTTAAGCAACAGAAGAGGCAAGCTGATGTCATTCCTGTTAGTTTTCCTGCTGCTATTCAGAGCTCTGTTGGAAGCAACGTAAGCTGATTGGTCTTCTACTTCTGAAATAGAGACAATCTGAGAAGCAGCAGCAATATTCAAGCAGTCCATGTATAGTCCTGTGAAAATGTTCCTTTCTTAGTCGTGATGCCTGCTTTTCTTTTGCTAACTGGAAAAAATTTGATGGAAATGATGGCTTTGCTACAAGAAGAATTAGTTTCGGTCTTGGAAAATTCAAGTCCTGGTCAAAATAAAGTTTTTGCATTCCTAAGCCTTGAAGTTTTTTTATTCTTCTGGTTTTTTCTTCCACTGTACAGCTCCGTGCATAGCTACTGTTCATAATAGACCTGTCTAAGCAAGTCTAATACACAGGATGCATAGTAATATGATTCAAGCAAAATGATGAATAAGTAAATGGATACTGTTTTTACTTCTTTTTAAATAACTGCATACGGTACATAAAAGCATGTTCATTTACAAATATCTTTCAAGTTTCTGAAATCTGAAATGTGAAAACAAATTAGTCAAATGTAGTGTATTTCTACTGACAGCAGCCTCCCGTTTTCTTAGGCTGCCCTTTTAAATGTTGCCTCATTGGCTGAAGGCATGGCATACAAGCATTGCTTGTTCTTGGCAAACAATGCAGCTTTACTATGCATCTTCATATGAAAAGCTTCATGCTCCTCCTGTATCATCCCCCTGTACTTGATCATAAGCACTTGACCACACATAGTGTGCTGTGCATCAAGCACATGATAATAATGTAGGAGGAATATAGAAGGAGCAAAGACTCAAGCTGGAGTTTATCAGTGTGTGTGTTGATTGCTGATGACCCCTTAGTAACCTACTAATTTGTGAGCATTAAGCTGTTTGAAAACTGTATTTCTCTGACTGTGCTTTTATGTGAATCTTAAGCTGTTTAAATATTGCCTTTCTCCAACCATGCTTTTGTTAAATAAAGATATCTTATTATTTCAGGTAGCAGTTGTTAAAATGAAGTGTACAGAGCGCATTTATGCAATGAAAATTCTGAATAAATGGGAGATGCTTAAAAGGGCAGAGGTAAGTAATATGGTTCTTTAATGCAGAGAATTTTTTAAATGCCATTAGGAAAATTACATTGAAGCTCTTCCAGATTAGGAAGAATTATTTCGTGAGCATAGGAGCTTCATTCTTTTATTTTTTTTTTATTTATTTTTTTTTTATTTCCTTAAGCTGTTTTAATGCAATCAAGTCTGACAGTCCCTTCCAGGCATCTGTTGTTCTCAGCACTACTGCGTATTCATTTACCAGACAGTCTGCCCTAGTTCTTAACCTGAATTTATTGGCCAGATTTTTGTTTACAATAAAGGCAAGTTAAAGGCTACATGAAAGCTGAGTGAGATTGGTGCTCCTATGACATTTACAGCTGTATACAAAAACATTATGAAAGGTCTTTTTTCTCCTGCGTTCAGAAAGCATACATTAAGGAGCTTTGCATCCTACAGTTTGTAACAGGATTTATATAACTGGTGAAACTATGACTAAATATTTTGAATCACAGCTTCAGACTGTAAAACAAAATGTGTTAAGAAGGTAAATCTGTTTAAGAAGGGTATTTTTAATAAAAGGAGTTGTACATTGTCACAACAAATTATGTAAATGTGAATGGGTACTTCACAGATTAGGAAAGGACCTACTAAGAATATGCCGTGGGAAGTGGTATATTCCTAGGATACCTGCTGTTGCATGAGGAAAACCTTATGGCAAGTGTAATATTACATAAGTCAGCAGGTAAATGAGCAATAGATTTGAGGGGAAAACACATGTAGTGCATCAAAACTGGCAACAGTTTTATTAAGGGCAAAGGCTAGCTGCTTGCTGAGGGCTGAGCCAGCTGACCCTTCCCTGTCCCATTCTTCTGTCTCCTTCCTGACACCACCTCCCCCCTGTCCTTTGCTTTCTAGTCCCTCCCTTCCTTTTAGGGAGTCAGTGCCAACTAGCTCTTTTCCTGTGAATAAATCTCCTCCGTCTTGTTAAGCCCCTCTTCACCACAGCCTTTGCCTGATTTAGTCACACTTTGTCCGTTGGACCATGCTCTGCTTTACAAGCGGTGGCAGCCACTGCCACTCGGCATTTCTTTGAGCTGTCAGGGGAGTTCACACTCTTGGCTGTGCTGCATCAGCGGTTCTGCATTAAACCTTCTCTGTATGGCGGAAATTCGGTGCCCTTTCTACAAAGATTTCAGTTGGGTTAATTAATTGGTCAGTATAGAATTGTTTTAAATCCAAATGCTTTTAGGAGCTCTCAAAGTCTAATGAAACACAGCTATTGCTGGCTTACTTCAGTCATTTTTAAAGTTATTTAATTACATGGCCTAAATACCTGAAACTTTTACATGTAGAGATGTTCTGAGAAGACAGCTGCCTACACATTGTCTTCAAAGTATACAGCTAACTCCTCTTACCCTGTCAGGCAGGCACAACAGGTGGAAGAGGGTTATCCACCAAGAAAGATATGTAATGAGCAACAGTTTTCCCAAGTAACAGTCCAACTAAGTTCTATTTCTGCTGATTTTTCCCCAACTACAAAGGATAATGAACTGTCTTCTCTGCTGTGCCCCATTGTCTTTACCTGATCAGTTAGCTGGCTTGTATTGGCTTTTCTGGATAAGCAAGGCTTTCTAACCTGCATATCAAGTTCATAAAACATCTGGGTGTTAAAATTTCTCAAGTGTGGTGAAACTAGTTAGTTTTTAAAATGAAGCCTGTAAGAATACAGTAGCGTCTTAAGTGAGCAGTTCCACTGAAAAGCAGACTTTGGCTGTTTTCATATCCACTGTACGAGTGGTCTAAGAAGCAGCATGTTGTTATACTGGTTTGTTTGTTTTGTATGACTCATTAAATGTAGCAAAAAGTTGCCTAAATACTGCTTATTTGTGTACTAGCTGCAAGCAAAAACCCATATGGTCAGAAACCACTAAAATACAGTAAAGATGAGTGAGTGTCAACTAACATCCATAAATGGGTTGCAAGTAAATAGGCATGCCATTTATGTTCATTAGGTATGCCATTTGTATTCGTTGTTCTGACAGCAAAATACATAGTCACTAGTGTATTACTGTTGACAGTTGCAAATAAGTCCTGACTGGCTGATTAGGTCACCTGTCATACTTTTTCAAGGCACGTCTCAAGGCCTTTTAAGCTAGAGTAAGGAGAGAAACAGAGTTTTATACTTTGAATTCATGATGCAAAGCGTTCAGCAGCATTTCTGGTTTTGAAGTGTTCATAACATTCCCTCGCTATTTGAGGTTGCACAGTGCACTGGATCAAGGAACTGATGTCTTCAAAAATAAACAAACTAGTCTTCTGTGTTGGCAGCCTCTTTACATCGTAGTGCCAGAAGAACTGAGAAGTGCTGTGCTCTGGTGCTGCGGGCAGGGGATAGGATTACTTGGAGCTGCTGTTGCTGCCAAACTTCTGTAGAGTGATACTTTGGCCTTGCCTTCATAGACCGTTAAACCATTCTCAGTTAACATTTAATTACAGTTTACATCTTTCTGCACCAATAATTGTTAACTTTACAATGTGGCCACGGTATGGTCATCTTCAGTAGAAATGTAAACTGACTTTTGCTTCCTTAGGGGGAAAAATGGTTGAGATACTTTTACAAGATGCAATCAGTATATGATTAAGCTTAGGCTTCCCAGGCATATTCCTTCTGTAGTACATTTTCTAAGACATCTGGACAAGTGACAATGACAAAAAAATAACAACAATTACTATCTAGAACTCAAACACTTGAATCTGCAGCTGCTGAATATCCTAATAATGGCTGCCTGAATTGAGAGTAGTGGAAGAGTCCCAAGGTCCTGCATCTTGGTGATTCTTATCCAATAAAAATGTTAATATATTTTTATAAAGGAGGACTTGCTTGAAGTTTATGAAAGTTGGTTTTATGTAAAGATGCTGAGAAAACCTGTTACACAGAGCTTGCTTCTCTGAAGTTTTACAGTGTACTATTTGAAGTAGAGGAAAGATTATTGAAAATGAAATGTATTATACTGGACAAAGATAAGACAATAATAGAAGAATCTGCTTATTTCCTATAGTGTGTTGCCAGTGTCTGGAGCTGTAATGTAAGAATTAATCTCTTTTTGCAAAGGTCTTTTCTAGAAGAACCAGACTTATGTTTGTAGAGCTGTTATCTTTCTGCGACAGACTGCAGTGACAAGTTACATTTTTCTGGCTCTTAAGAATACGTTATGGAACAACAATTCAGTGTTGACTTGAATTGGTTTTGTGGGCTTTTTGGTGGCTTGGGGTGTGGTGTGTTGGTTGTGGGGGTTTCTTTTGGTTTGGGGAGGAGTTTTGGTTTTTTTTTTTTAAGGTTGCAGTCAGGATTAGAGTGACTGAATGCTTGACTGCCAGTCTGCAGAGATTCCCTGGCTTGTCACTTGTGCAGACTGAATTCCAATGAATACAGACCTCTGTTCAGTAATTTTAAATAATCCCATAAAACATCCATATATATTCATCCTGTGAAAACTACTTGTTGATGTTGACAATGGCTTCTCTCCGCTCTCTTCCTTTAGACAGCTTGCTTCCGAGAGGAGAGAAACGTCTTGGTGAATGGAGATTGTCAGTGGATTACTACGTTGCACTATGCCTTTCAAGATGAGAACTATTTGGTATGTTTGATTCATCAGTAGATAAAAGCTTTAGGTTATGAAAGTACTTTATTTTTGGTACATTTAAGGATATTAGTGCAGTAAATCAGTCCGCCTCATGCCTCGCAGCAGTGTTTCAACATTCTTGTTTTGTCCTTGAAGAAAGACTTCAAAGGAACTGACTGTAACTCCAGGAGAGTGAGAAATTCACATAGTACTATAGTATATAGAGGTTTAGTTACGCACCTTTAACTAATCTAGCCTTGTATAAAATATATCATGCTTAAGTTTAATGTTTTGAATAACTTTGCATTTAAATAACTTGAGAGGTGTTAATTCTGTGAAAGTAAGAAATATTTTTATTTTTATTCTAAACTTTCAGAATGTCTTTTGAATCAAGATTTTCTTTAAAAATGACAAAAGTAATTTAAAATTTTATTTTAAAATTATCATACTGGTACTTTAAATGCCTCAGGAAAAAAAATAGCTTATTTCTTAAAAGAATTTAAATACATTTAAATAACTTTTAAATGAGCAGATTATTCATTTTAGCAGTTAGAGAGACTTCAGCAACCATTTACAAAGAAAGTCATTACATTTTTTAATGATGGGTTACTAGAACTGTAACATGCAAGTTATGTTTACCTTAGTCAGAGAGGTCAGAGAAGTACTAGTCAGGAGCAAAGTCAGTAAAGTCCCAACATACTGCAATATACTGAACCATACAGCTTCTATGTGACTACCTGAGGCAGGGTTTGCAAACCTGCTATTTCTGTAACAGCTGACATAGTTTAAATGTAAAAGTTTTCACCTTCTTAATGCTTTTTAGATACTACCACAGTAGCAAGTCATGATTATAAATAAGAAAAATAATAAGGCTGCTAATGAGTTCAGGAACTAAGGAAGAAGAGTGAGAAAATACTCAAAACATTGTCACAGGTGCTGAAACCAAATTATTTTGACTGTCATGTCTAAAGTATTCTTGGAATAACAAGCACATCTAAGCAAATAAGTAGTCGGGACTTAGACTATTACTTACAGGCTATTTCCATTGAATACCTTGTGATAGATCCAGGTTTTCAACTTTCCAAAGGCTAGTTATGTCTGCATTGCCTCCTGAAGATGGCTCATGATTTCAAATTCCTTCAGAGCCAAACAGCCTTCAGACTTACATAAAAATAACCTAAACCAAATATAACATATTTCCAAGTAGCGTGTAAGAATGGAGCTACCTAAGAAAAAAATTAGCTTTACAAGATAGCAAGCAGTAGTGGTGACAGTATAAAGAGGGATCTAGTGTTGCTAATGCCATCTTGTACAAATCTGTTCCAAGCAAGCTATAGCAGTATAATATGTATCTTTTCCTGAAGCTCCTAAAGACATTTAGATGTTGAAGTTTCACTTGATGGCAGAATTTAGACATCTAGCATCTAATTTAAGACCCAGTATCTAAGAAAGCAGCAATTCTGCCTGGCAGCCAAAGTCAGATTTCCAGCTTGCCTGAGGTCTGGTTCTGCATGCTGCCTTCTAATTTGGTCTGTTACTCAGCATCCATCTCATGTAATTGTCTGGTGCTCACAGATGGAGTGTTTCTGCATCTTACTCTGTCATAAATGATGCATGAAGAAAAGGTGAAACATCAGGAAGTGACTTTTGTCCAAAAACCTGGACAGAAGGTTCTATTCTATACCAGTGGTTCACTTGTCCAGGGGCTAAAAGATCTGTTCAGTTCTCTGCTCAGCTTAAAGAAGTTTATAGCCATATTTTTCCACATCTCAGTAGAGTGCTGCCATATTACAGAACCTGGTCAGATTGGGTTTACTTTTTAGCTGTGCTGTTCATCTTGGTCCTAGTAGAATGGAATGCAAAGCTGAGAACAAAACAAGAACAGGCATCAGAGCTTGGTTCTCCAACCTGGAGTGGACATCAGTACCCTGAAAGAGAAATCACTAGGTTCTGGAATCTACTTACTCCCAGTAATGTTTGTGCATTATAGCTAGTGATTCTTAAATACAAGACCACGTAAGCTGACCCTGAAGCAGAGAGAGAACCTCGGTGTCTTCCCACGTCTAGGGCTTGCCATCGTTCTCTGGCTGCATGATAAAAGGTTCAGAATGAGAAATATAAAGAGAAGATAAGTTATTAAGGTAGAAAAGTAGTAGCTGCCCTTGGGGAGTCTAAAAGTGATTGGGGATTTATTCTCTCTAATATTAGTAGAGCATGTGGTGATGCAAGAAACAAAGTTCTACAAAATGTATATGTTCTGGAGTTCATTTTCTGGTTCTTCTCCTGTAGTTTTAAAATTTTTTAGAGGCACATACACCATGTAGTAGTGTTTTCTAAACAACCAGTTCTTAAATGACATGACATAGAAATGCCAGCATGGCTTTTTTCTGGTTCTTGGAAAGCTTTTGCAGAGACAGTTTGAGTCAAGACAGGTTAAGTAAGCCTCTGGTGATTTTGCTGAAGCAGATAGAGTGTACGTGAAACACAGTCCATGAATATTACAAACATGTATAGGACCTGAAGTTCTTAATCTCTTCCAAATTCAAATCTGTTAGTTTTCTTGTGACTTAACAGAAAAATTTTCTTTCCCAGTCTCATTCACAAAGAAGAGCATATGTGTGTTTGTCTGCTGTGAGCCTGTTACAGGCTTCTGAGTATTCATGAGAGTATTTTGATGTTTTTTGTTCCTTTGATTTCCAACTACTCTCCCTGTTTGATGTAGTCACTTCCCTGAAAGAAACGTGATTCCTGTAGACTTCAGTGTCAGAATAGTCTTTATTTTAAACCCAGGTGAAGGGAGAATTGCCTCCTGGCAAGAAGATCATTGTGAATTGGAAGATGAATAAAATTTGTCTTTCTTATAGAATAGGTCTCACCAACTACCTCTGATCTAAGTGCCTCATTTCATGGGTCAGCTGAGTTCTTGCTTAGTTACAAATGCTGTGGGAGCTGAGGGAAGTGCATTACCTTGCCTCTGACAGGAGGATATTTTGGTTCCCACAGAAGGCTCTGTAAGCTCTCTTAGCTTTGAATTTGAACAAAAATACTTCAATACAATATTCCTTTTAAATGATTGCTAGTTCCTATCTGTAGCCTTTTGGTTTTGAACATAATTGTGGCATGTGTATGGTGTTCCAACATGTTTGAAATTCCTTGTTGGGTTGTGCAATATGAACTGATCAATTTCAACATAAGTGGTGAAAAATCAGACTATGCTATACTTTGAATAAGATGGAGAAAAATAGAAAAACCTGTGCCTTTTGGAGTCACTCTTTTAAGCCAAAAGATAGCAAGGAAATTAGTAGTGTTGCACTTGGTGTTCCTTCGGGTTCCTATCTTCTTTAATTTGCTTCGCTTGTGGAAGATCAATGTGTGTCAGGGACAGTGCATTTTAGGTTGCATTACCTTGAGTAGAAGAATAAGATGCCTGTTTTGGAAAGTTTCATTCCAGAATAAGCAAAGTTACTTCTAAAACCATGGATCAAATCATCTTGGGAAGTATGGAACAAAATGGCTCGATTGGTAGTACTAGATAATCGTTACACTTGAAGTGATTTAGGTGGGTATTGCTAGGAAATGACTAAAATGTAATCTTTGTTTTCTGGTGTGAAAAACCAATAGCAAGTCTAAGTCCTTTTCTTTCAAGTTACCCTATCTGTACCTTTCCCTAGATAGGATAATGGCTGATTGGCCTAAGAGGCTGATTACTTTTTCAATTAAATATATTCAGAAGAGCATTGGTGTTTGATTTTTAAATCTCCCACTGTAGTGCCTCTGGCTTGACAGTGTTTCTGATTTGTCATGGGCACCCCTAATGTATAGTGTCATCAAGTTCCTGCCACCAATGTTACGCATCCATGATGCGGCATGTGCTAAGATGAGTATTTGAAGATGGTGATAAGTCCCACTTTTGGAACAACTAGTAGTATTGAAATGGTACCAAAACTAAAACTAGTAATAAAATGTATGTTTCAGACTAAGCTTCATCAAGCGTAGTTTTTAACTGTAGTTTTTTTCTTCCTGCATCCTCTGGAAATTCTCAGTTTAAGGGTTGATAACGTACATGAGTTTTGGTGATATTAAAGAATTTTCTGTGTGTGACACTAGTGAAGATAGAGATGAATGCACCCTGCTTAACTTGTTTGTTGCTGCTGTATCTTGGAATTTGTTCTGGGCTTTTTGTTGTTGGGGCTTTTTGTTTTTGTTTTGGGGGTTTGATTTGGTTTGGTTTTGGTTTTTGTTATGGTAAGAACTGAGTGCTGATGTGTTCCCTGTACTGTGATGATTAAAGGAACTTTTTCACTAAATAAGCAAGTAAAAATAACACAAAGTATTACCAATTTTTAACTACTTTCCTCAGGCTCAGGAAAAAATAAATAGTGAAAGGGTTTTTTTGGTTTTTTGGTTTTTTTGTTTTTTTTTCAAGGGTTAACTGATGAGCTTTATTATTTTATTTTTTTAACAGCTGCCTCTCAGTACTTGACTGCTTTATTTCCTCCTTTTCAGTATCTAGTGATGGACTACTACGTTGGTGGTGACTTACTGACACTTCTCAGTAAGTTTGAAGACAAGCTTCCTGAGGATATGGCTAGGTTCTACATTGGTGAAATGGTGCTTGCTATACATTCCATACATGAGCTGCATTATGTGCACAGGTAAAATACCATCTCACTGGGCAAAAAATACATGTATAGTTATAAGAAGTTACTATATGCTGTGTAATAGCTGTATAAGCTATTACATTTTAAATACCAAGTTTTGGTGGATTGATATTAGAAGCAGTGACATTTATCAGACTAACCTTTTACTAAAGCTTCTATTTTTAATCAGGCTTCTTGATTTATTCTTAATTCACTTCATGAATATTTATCTGCCTTTGTCCAAGCCAACCCAGAAGTCTGAAGCAGTTTGAATTCTCTGCAAATGTTTAGACATTCTGCAAAATTATACACAGCAAGCCCATGATACCAGTGCATCTGTTTACCTGAGGTCATCTTCAAAAAGTTTTTGTAATGAGAAGATACGTGCCAGTCAAATTGTTTTTCAACACAGGATGCAAATTCGGGAACAGTGCCTACCATTGTGCTAACTTAGGTTGTGTTTTGTAGTATTTAAGAATATGTAATATTCGTTGTTGTCTGTCAGAGGAAATGGGTCAGGAAGGTAGAGTACACTTTTTATGCTGCTGCTTTGGCTTCCTCTTAAAGCACCTGTTTTAGAAGGGCTGTGAATACTGCATGGGAGACACTTGATAAATATTTTGTTTCATCATGGCAAGAGTCTTAATCAAGTGAGAATTTCTATCTTTTGTTTGCTTTTCAGATGTAACACCTATGTGTGATGCATCAGTTAGAAAGCAAAATTATCCTAATTCTGGAAAGCCTTTGCAGTTGTCTTGTTATATGCTGACTTTATAGCTTGATTTCAGTAAACTCAGAAGCTAGAGGGTTTTTAGTTAACTGAAAACTGCTGTGAATATTAAATGTTGTGGACTTAGAAGTTTACCAGAGGCATCATTGCACCCATTTCCAAGGAAGGTGGCCTGACTAAATGACCAGCCTACATCTTTGCATGGGGCTGAATGAATGACTGTTGGGGCAACAGGAATGAATGGCTTTGAGGCCAAAACATACCCTTTGAATAGGAAATGTATGAATGCCCAAGAAATTACTGCTTGGCAACTGGAAATGGATTAAGAGGAAGCATGATTGCTGTGGAGAGGATTTCAAGTATCCTTTAAAGGCTTATATGACCTGTTAGCCATAGATAGGAAACGGGGAAGCTCAGAGATGAGGCATTAAGCTTTTCTGAACAGCAACAGTGTTCCCTTAGGCAAGGAGATCTGCATGCAAAGAGGAAAAGCAGAGATGTGTTGGATGAGATTGCCTCATGCTTTGAATGGCACCGTGTTTAAAAAACAAACAAATCTGTGTATAGTTGTATATAAGCTCCACTAGTCCTCTGCACCTACTGAGCTTGACTTGTGCTTATGGGACTATAAGGGAATGTTGACAATATGTGGAACTGAAATGTATGGAATAAGTCTAACAATAGAAAATTACCAACGGGAGTGTATAGTGAGATGGTCTAATTTTCTGGATTAGTACATATTTTTCTGTGTTACACAAATAAGTGTGCATTTAATTTATTTTGACAGGCATAGATTAGCATTTATTATTTTGTCTTAATACTGCTAATGAGCAGCAGTATTAGTGAAGTTTCAGTAATTAATCTCAAAGCATTAGCCCTTAGTTAAACAGTGTTAATTTAAGTTTGTATTGAAAAAAATTATCAGATTGGCAGGATTTTGACGCATATGAGGACCCTTTGTTAAACCTATCATGTTTTTTCTCATGAGTCTCCTCAAGTGTGAAACTATGGAATTTAGCACCTTAAAAATCAGACATTGTCAACTTCCACATATACGTAGCAAGGTAGATTAGAGCTTTTTTTTCCTCTACTTCCTAGTAATTCTAGTCTCTTCCTCAAAAATTAAGCTGAAGCTATTGGATATTTTTTAAGTTTTTGGGCGCATGTAGTGGCACTTGGAATTTCCCATTTGAAAGGAAATACAGGATTTTATGGTGCAACAAGACAGGTGGGTTTAAGGTAAAGCACATGTGGTTTTATTATCAATAGATAACATTATTTGAATAAATATATCTAACCCACACACACACACACACACAAATCAACACATTTATAGGCTTGGTTATCTTCTTTGGCTAGCTCAGATAAATAATAATAATAATTGAAAAAGACATGATAATATGCTGGCATGTTGGGAGCTGATCCTGGATGTGTTTGCTAAAGAAAGCGAAGGAGACTGGTATATATTATCTTGGAAGACATGGACGTTCTCATTTTTAGCCTGAAGAATTGGTGCATAACTGAGTTGGCTTTGGTTTCTGCACTTGCTCTTATCTCTTCCTTTCTCACCACCTTCCCAACATATTGCCTAGGTACTCTTAAAAGCATATCATAAGATCATTGGGATATTTTGAGACTATTAATTAAAAATTGTACGTATCAGGACTGTCTTACGAAGTTGTCTGGATGATTGATCTTTTACTGATACTTTGTGTGAATTTGAGAACAAAATGGTGAAATAAAATGTGATTAATTGGTGGACTAAATTCAATTAACATGCTTTTCAGTAAATCCTTTTTGGCTCTCTTCCTGATATCAAAAAGAATATCGAGTAATGAGCTTGAATGAAATGGGAATCTTTGTTTCATGTCATTTAGTAGCCTTAGCATGCTGTATATTGTTTTATACCCCGATACATATATATATAGATATAGATATATAGATATATGTAAAAATAGGAAAGACATGGCTTGATATTGGAGACTTTCTAATGTTAGCATGTCCTCTTGAAATGGCATTGCCCTGATCCCAGAATTGAGGGAATTCAGTGGCTGGTAGAGTAGCTACTGCAGGTACACAGGATGCAAAGGTTTTCAGGGATCCGTAGAAGCAAATGTGCTATGCAATAATGTATAGAAAGTCTGCAATAGGAAATGAAAAATATTGGCCAAACGGAAATGCTAGTCAAAATTTAGAGAATCATTAAAAAAATCTTCCTAGATAAGAAGTCAGAAGTTAGTTACAAGCTTTGGCAAAAAAAATACAAGATTTAAAGATTGTCCTTTCTCTTTCATCTTTCTTGCCTTTAAATAATATACTGTGATGCCTGATCTAGTTGAAGTTGTCCCTGCTCATTGCAGGGGGGGTTGGACTAGGTGACCTTTGAAGGTCCAACCCAAACTATTCTGTGATTCTATGAGTATAATCATGAAATTATGTTGATGAAGAAACTGCGTATCTGTTTCTGTCAACATGACTCACTGTAATTGTTCTGATTGGTTATTTGACCATTCAGAGATAAACTTTGATCTTGAAAATCTGATGTAATGTAAGGCTTTAATATTTTGGGCAAAGTCCTAAGTTGGGCAGGAGGAGAGGGTTTTAAGTAGTGCAATAAAAAGAGTTTGCATCAGTGGGTATCCAACATAAAATTCTTTGTTATTCTGAATCAAGATTAATCTTCATAAGCAGAGCTAATAATTTAGATTTAAATCTTTTTTCACTTCTTGCTGTTATAACAGGGACATAAAGCCTGATAATGTTCTTTTGGATGTGAATGGCCACATACGACTGGCAGACTTTGGGTCCTGTCTGAAAATGAGTGAAGATGGCACAGTATGTATGAAGCAAAATTTAATTGTGGGAATTTTTAAGTGAGTTACTTAAAACTGTTATTCGTTGTCTGTGCATCAAGGAGGTGATAGGTTGTAAGCTTATAGACATGCTGAAAATTGAGGGAAGACTATAACTCAACATACTTACAATTTTTGACAGCTTCATCTCCTTGCTACTTTTTAACCTTATCCCTTGTTAATGTTTTTCTCTCTTCAACCTTTTTTCCTACTGGCCATTTGAGTTCTCATGGGATTTTTATGAACTGTCCAAAGACCCTTTATTAAAAAAGGATAGATATTTGATAATATTTGTGTTGGAATCACAGGTGTCCAGGAACCTAGAAACCATGCTAGACTTGAAGTGCAAGTCATTCAAAATGAGGACACAGCTAAGCACAACTAGAACTTAATCTGACTACAGCCATAAAAAACAACAAAAAATAATTCTATAAATATATTAGCAACAAAAGGAGGGCTAAGGAAAATGTCCATTCTACATTGGATGCCGGGGGAACATGATGAAAAAGGATGAGGGAAAGGATGAGGTACTTACTGCCTTCTTTGCCTCAGTCTTCAATAGTAAGACTAGTTGCTCTCCATGTACCCAGTCTCCTGAGCAGGACGACAGGGACTGGGTGCAGCATGAAGCCTCCATGCGGTCTCTTCTCCCTAATAAGAAACCATAGGACAGGAAGAAATGGCCTCAAGTTGCACCAGGGGAGATTGGATATGAGAAAAACTTTTTCACCAAAAGGGTTATAAAGCATTGGAACAGGCTGCCCAGGAAGTGATGGTGGAAGCATCCCTGGAGATACCTAGAAGACGTGTAGATGTGGTGCTTTATGACATGGTTTAGTGGTGGACTTGGCAGTGCTTGGTTAATGGTTGGACTCAATGATCTTAAAGGTCCTTCCCAGCCTAAAATGATTCTGTTTCTATCGATTAATAAACAGTTTTATATGCCTTCTACAAATGGAACAACACTGTTACGGTAATCTGCCATCTTGTGCACTATATTGGATACACCCCTACAACCTAAATCACTTGTGATGGTTTTTTGCTTGTTTTGCCTAATTTAGGGTGCTTCCAGTGGTGCCAGTGCTGCCAAAGTATGGCATGTAACATCATTCACCCATTTTTCGCACAAACTCAGCTCTTGGTGACATTACGTAGTTCTAAAATGCCTGCCAAGGATTTACCATATTAAAATGCAAAATAAATTGGAAGGAGCCATTATAACTCTTCAGGAAACCTGAGAGCATATTCTTAAAAATCAGAGGTGGTCTGCTACTGCCCTGATGGTCAGGGCTTCCCTGCTACTTGGGCACAGGGCAATTCCCCGCCTTACCCCTGTGTTGCATCCAGGTGCACGTTATGCAGTAAGTGTTTAACCAATTTCTGACATACTAAAAATAGGAGACTACTTGTGGGAGGACCTTGTTTTGTGATCTTCAAATGAAACTGTAAAATTCAGGCATAGGACTTGAACTCCCTACTTACTTGTTTTTAATTTCAACTTCAGGCAGCCAATTGCAATTTTAAAGTATTAAACAGACACAAAGGCAAAATATGTTCTCCTTTTGTCTGTCTGCTTTCACAATGGCTGTGATTATTTTGAGTTTCTACTGTGTTCAGAAGATTTTTTTTGTAGAAGTAGACTGGAACTTAATCTTCATAGTCTTCGTTATTTTCTTAATATTTTCTTCACTTTATTGTTTATTTATTTTGTTGCTATGAATTTATAAATCTCCTTCTTTTCCTGACTCATGTCGTGGTGTCTTCGTTTATCAAAAATAGTGATGTGTAAGAAAGTTGCTGAGAGAACCTTAAAACTTACAAGAATTGTGTTTGCCTTATTTTTAAGGTACAGTCATCAGTAGCAGTGGGTACGCCTGACTACATCTCCCCTGAGATACTGCAAGCAATGGAAGATGGAATGGGAAAATACGGGCCTGAATGTGACTGGTGGTCACTGGGAGTCTGCATGTATGAAATGCTGTATGGTGAAACACCCTTTTATGCAGAGTCATTAGTGGAAACCTATGGGAAGATTATGAATCATGAAGTAAGAGCTATATTAAGTGTTCACAGAGAAACTTATCAAATTTATCACTTAAAGATATTGAAATGACAGTTCTTTGCTTTTACATGTTTTAGAACCATCTTTTGTAGGTTTGTTGGGTCAGGTGTTAGGAACATTTGCTCTTCTGAACTGTGGAACCTGAATTCTTTCTCAAACTGATTTTCTGTAAATGCTGATGGTCTCGTCAGAAAATCTAAGCAGTCATCACAAAATCAAAATTAAACCAACTCTTGTGTTAGGCCCATTGAAAGTTTCCTCTGGACTGCCCGAGAGATGAAGTAATGCATTATTTACACAGCTATGCACACGTTCTGTAGCACTGGTAACAGTACAAAAAAGGGAACGGGCAAGTCAAGCAGTGATCTTCTTCATGATCTGCATGAAGAACATGAGGTCGGGGGGAGTTGCCCAGAGTGGAAGCGACAGAAAAACATGTACGTGAACTGCATGAAGAACATTAGGTCATGGGGTTTGTCCAGGGTCGAAGTGGTAGAGAAGTGCTGGAACTTTTGCGTGCGTTTTGAATATTATAGAATAAGTGTAAACCAGTGCGTGATGTACTTTCAACAGCCTTATTAGGAGGATGTTTATGTGCGTAGACATCCTAGGTAGCCAAAAGCTGTTACACAGGGTATGTTGTTGCACTTTGTTCTCCGCAGGATGAATGTAATTTGCTGGTGTTTACAGTGCTGTGCTCTCACAGTAAAACAGTGATGGATAAGACATTAAATTTTTGCCAGAGTTGAAACCCTTACTGTGGTGATTATTAATCTCTCTCTTGCTTTAATTTCTTCAATTAACTAACCAGTTGCGAATGTAGCAATATATATAAATATATATACACATAAATATATATTTATATATTTACACACATCGTATATATGTGTGTATATATATGTGCTATTGTCCTTTATTGAAAAAAACAAACCACAAAGCCCTTCTTGACTATACAATGATAACAGTGGTAAGTTAAAATACAGAAAAAGGTTTCCTGATTTTTATGTAGAATAATTTCAGATGTTAGTGGTAAGTACAGTTTTTAGACCTTTTGTTTGTTTCTGATAATAATAGATGATATTTTGGTAAAAAAACAAGTATTTAACCTATAATACATCCTTAAGTATAGCAGTGTTTTGTAAAGAATTGACTACCATCATGGATTTGTAAGAGTTTAAATCAATAAATTCTCAAGGAGTATGTCTTCAGGGGATCACTGGATCTGTGTCTAAGAATGCAGGTGAGGGTCTGCCTTTACTGTATGATCTTTCATATATTGTAATGTGTCAAAATTCCTGTATGTCTTTTAAAAAAATTAGTTTGCTTTTCCCAATAGAGTTACTGTAGTTGCAGTTTAGTTTCAAACAGATCTGTATTAAGGAAATTGAGAAATGATTACTTGTCCTCAAAATCCATTTTAAGACAAAATCCTATCACTGAATGTATTGCATTGTGCTCCACCACTGCTTGCTGAAACTAGAACTGTGTTTGACTATTTGTTTCCAGTGCTATTGGTGTAATTTAGCACATTCTTTTTGAAACTACCATTGAAAGTTATGGAATTGATTCCTTCTCTAAAAATGTCTCTGTTTCATTTTCTAGGAACGATTTCAGTTTCCATCCCATGTTACAGATGTGTCTGAAGAAGCAAAAGACCTTATTCAGCGACTTATCTGCAGTAGGGAGCGTAGACTGGGACAAAATGGAATAGAGGATTTTAAGTCTCATGCATTTTTTGAAGGACTTAATTGGGATAACATCCGAAACCTAGAAGCACCTTACATTCCAGATGTTAGCAGTCCTTCTGACACCTCAAACTTTGATGTAGATGATGACGTATTAAGAAATCCAGTGAGTCTTTGCTTTTAAATATTACTAATGAGAATTTGCAAACTAAAGTCCTTTTCCAACCCAAACCATTCTAGGGTTCTAAATGGTGGCACTTGCCAAAATCGACAAGTTATACTTTTAGTTAAAACTTTCCAAGGAGCTAGTATTTGGATTTATTTAAAAAAAAAAAAAAAAAAAAAAAAAAATCTGTCATGAGAAATACACTTATTCTCCATGCAGCTTGCAATCAGAGCTGTCCAGGTGAGAGAGAGCTCACATGGCTACTTCTCCACTCATTTAAGAACCAGGAGGTTGGTTTTCAGACTGGGGACATAGGTGTTCCCCTCCTCTATTTCTGTTGAGAAGTAGTTTACAAATTCAAGTCAATAGCAGCAGAGGGCTTTGTGGTAATTTGTTCATCAGTTTGTATTCCAAGAAATGAAGAGCTTTTGGCATGTCCTTTGATTATGTATCTAACAGTAGCTAGCATACTAAAACTAACAGCATGCATTTTGGTGCCAGGTTTAATTAGGAACTTGAAATTTTGGCTTTTCTTTTACTGGTTGCCTTGTGCTTTGAACTGCTACCCTTTCAAGTGCCGGTTCAAGAGGCTCCTAAATTCAGGTCATTGTATTAAGTGGCCTAGTCCGAAATAAAGTTTGTCCAGAGACAATGGTAGTCTCTACAATGAAGAGTAGATGCCAGTTGTTATTTGGTATACACTAGGAAAAGTCTTTCTGTTAGCTGTCTCTCTTTGACTGTTGAATCTAAATCAAATGCCTTTAGCTCATATTGGTTCTCTTTTGAGTTTTCATACATGTTATTTTCATGCAGGAAGTGGTGCCACCAAGTTCTCATACAGGCTTTTCTGGATTGCATTTACCATTCGTTGGGTTTACATACACAACTGATAGGTAAGCAAAGGATATGTTGTTCATTAAACTTGTTTCCTGAATGCAGGTAATACTAGGAAATTCTCATTTTTCTAAACATACAGAAAGGTTTATGTCCATAGGTATACGTGTGGATAAACTCTTATCCTTGGTTGTTTGTTTCCCCCCCCCCCCCCCAAGTGTCTGAACATAATTTGGTCATGCTGGCCAAGAATAGTTGCTTTTGTATTTAATATTTTATCTATTTGAAATGAATGAAAGTTAAGGAACTAGATGTGTCACTTCGAAACTTGCTCTTTCTTCACTGAGAAGCTGAGGGTAAGTCTTGTCCATGTTGCATGTGTGCCAGGAACAGTTCATGATTAGCTCATTAGCTCCAAAGTCCTGCTGGTAAACTAAGATAACGTAGATGGTTCTGAGCATGGACAAAGTTGCTCACTTTGCACATCTTTGAAATGGCCTTCATCTGACTTCAGAGATCTCTCAAACAAATACTTGTGTCTGATCTTCAGGTTGTTCTTCCCTGTTTGTTATTTCATTATTTCCCTTCGCAGGGTTTGTTACCCCATGCAAAACCAGTTCAGAAAGAACCCAGTACACATATCTCATCTTTTTTAGAGTGGCTTAAGTCCATCTTTGTCACTCTTTAAACTTTTGTGTTTGTTTCTCAGCTCTCTCAGTGCATGTACACTTACCCACTTACTTCACTGTCAGGTAGTAGTAACCTTTGGCATAGGAGAGTTAACATTTTCAATAGTTTAGGCAAAATTAATGCCTTGTAAAGTGAATATACATCTACATCATTAAAGTCCTGGATGCAGGTGCCTTAATTCTACAGCAGCATGCACAGTAGCTAGGAAATAACAACTTTATCTACCCTGACAGTTGTCTCAACAGTAATAATTACTGCACTAATTGTTCTTGTAAATTTAAGGTGGATATTTGGTGGAATCCGATCATGTCACTGCTATGGTATGCTGTATTTATTAAAATGTTCTAATTTATGTATTGTTTTCAGCTCTTTATCTGATAGAGGCACTTTAAAGAGTGCGATGCAGTCTGACACTGTAACCAAAGACATGGATGTACAGCGTGACTTAAAGAACACTTCACAAATAGAAGGCTATGAAAAGAAAATACGGAAATTAGAGCAAGAAAAGCAGGATTTGAACAGAAAACTGCAAGGTTGGTGGTTTAGATTTGTTAGTATTCTTAATTCTGCTCGTTAGGAGGAATGGGAATGTATTTTATTGAAAGCCTTTTCCTTCTTTTTCTGCTTTTAAGAATCTACACAGACAATGCAGAACCTCCAAGGTCCAGTGTGTGTTACAGTAAATACAAGCCGTGATAAGGAGATTAAAAAATTAAATGAAGAAATTGAACGGTTGAAGAACAAATTAACAGGTAAGCCTCCGGCATGGTAATTATAGTAATCCAATTTATTTTGCTATCCCTAGTACCATTTTGTACTGTGTTTTTGCAATAAGTAGAATTAATGTTCTTGAGGTGGTAAAAACCAGGGTTTTTTAGAGTCTCGTTCAATATTAAGAGGCATTTCAGTTTTTCCAGATGAGCACTTAACTTTTTTTTCCACTTGGCTTGGTCTGATAGCGTATGCTGGCATGGGGAGTCTAGAGTGTGATGAATTGTGTGAATGGGTTCAGTTAAATATTTTGTGTGATGTTGGTTTCCCTAAAAATCTCAATAGATCCTGTTCTCCTTATTTCTCCTTTTTTTGGGGGAGTATTGTTTTGGAGGGGTTTTACCTGCAGGCAGGTGTAAGACACAGTGGGGAGAGAAGACTAGTTGCTCTTTTGTAACATAAGGGGATAGGTGCTGGGAGGTATAATAATAGATCACATTTAAATATTTCTGAGCTCCTGTTCCCTTTGTGTTTGTCTGGTGATGCATTAGTTAGGAAGCATTGAGCATTGCAGGAAAACAAATACTGGCATCTGTCCTGAGAGAAGACTGACTCATCCATGTCACTGAAAATCTGTTGTCTGACAATGCTATTAGTTTATCCGTACAAACCTCCTGTTAGCATCCTATTTTTTAAGTGGAAATCGGTGATAAACAAAACGGTAGTTTTGAATCCTAATGACTTGGCTGAGAGGTTTATAGGGGCCTGTAGTATAGCGTAGGTGAGTTCAGATGCTGAGTTTGTGCTGCTGGGTTGTTTTTTTTTCCTCCCTGCAGTTTGGCAATATACCCGCTTTGTAGGTACATGCATTGTAAAAATCAGCTCTCCTACATAGATTATCCTTCCAAAAAGAGCTATTCTAATGTATTTTGGAATTAGGTTTGAGTCAAAGTAGGTTAAGGGGCTACTTCTGCAAATGATTCAAGTTTATCTAGCTCTTCATCCAGTGGTGTCCTGTTAAATATAGAAAGGAGCAGTAAGGTCTGGTTTGAAAAGTAGTATCGGTTCATATAGGGTGGGAGGTTTGTGCTGAAGTGAGAAAAGGAATAATACTTTAATCATTACAGCAGTGCTTGGGATTCCTGAATTGGGATCCGGGTGCAATTTCCTGTTCTGCCACAGACATCAGTGGAACTTGAGAGAGACAGTTATTCCCTGTGCAATTTCTTATTTATTTGTTTAAAAAAGGAGTAATTAAAACCAGATGGAGATTGGCAGTTCATTTTCTTAACAACTTTAAGAGTGAGCAGAAACAATACAGGTGGTTCATTTGTTGCACTGAATGGTGATAATTTCAAATAAAATTTGTTAGATTTTCTTTGAGAGTGAACTGCCAGGGATATGGTCAGTTGGGTCTCCAGCCTTGCTCATGCAGGATTCTGTTTCCTTCCCAGATTGTTAGTTCTTATTTACTCTGGGAAATAGTCTTTTCCTGTCTTGCTGGATGCACTAATGACTGACTGCAGCCTTGCTTGCTATATAATGAAAACTATTTATGAGACAAATTACTAGAACTGGAATTAGAGCAGCTCAGGTTTACTTCAGTGTTTTCAAGGGCTAGACGCTGTATTCCTTAAAACCAAAACAAAGTCCTGTGCTAAGGCTTTTACACTTAGAGATCACAGTCTTTAGGAGGATTTCTTTAATAGGCTGGGAAAATTCTAATTATTCGGAGGTGCCAGTGCCCCAAGATTACCTTAAACAGTCTAGAATGGTGGGAACAGGAAAGAAGTTGATTTTCTGAGCAAAGTGATGTCAGTTTGCTTGAGTAATGTTGCTTGCTTTATTGATGTAAATCTGGGACCAGTTATCTCTGATATGCATTAATCTACAGATATAAGTAAACTGGAAGGACAGCTTGCAGATGCAATGGCTTTTCGACAAGAACATGAAGACTCAATACACAAGTTGAAAGGACTAGAAAAACAGTGCAGAGTACTGCGGCAAGAAAAGGAGGAGCTTCATAAGGTATTGATCCCAAGAGACAGACGTTTATAAATAGTCTTGTAAAGTAAGGTATAGTTCTGTTGTGATTGCAATTTTAGTGTTTCAAATACTGCTTTTTACAACTATACAGAGAATTGGATGAACCTGTTAATTTCTTTAGCAGTACAATAGTTTTCCAAAGCAGCACACTTTTCATTTTTGGAAGTTGATAGGCATCTTGCTTACTTCAGAAATGTTCTGCTAGATGGAACACCTAAAGAGTGGGTTCAGTTTAAATGCTAATTACTCTTAAATGTTTCAGTAGAAGTCTGAGGGCAATCAAGAGAGACTTCAGGACTTTGGGACAAGTGTTAAGGGGTCAGGAGCACAAGTAGTGTTCTCCTCTATCCTTCCAGTTGTATGGAATGATGAGGGAAGAAACGGGAAGAGCCAGGAGATCAATGGCTGGGTCTAGCCTGGTGTCACTGGCAGAATTGTTTTGTTTTGGGTCGTTTTACATGACACCAGGCCTGCTGGTGACAGATGGGGTACACTTTTCTCAAAGCGGGAAAAGGATCTTTACACAGGAGTTAGCAGGGCTCACTGAAAGAGCTTTAAACTGGATTTGAAGGGGGAAAGGGGAAACAGCTTTTAAACTTCCAAGTGTTGGAACTTCACAGTTCGTTTGTACTAAGGAATCTTCCTCAGTTTTCTGAAGAATTTCACAAGATTTGCAGCAGCATCTCAGTGCTGGTACAGTGTATTTGATGGGTGCACTCAATGTACTGTCTGCTAAAACATTCCTTTAAAAATGGTTACTGTTGTGCCGGTACATTATTTAGAAGTGAGTTACAGTAGGTGCAGAGTAACTGCTGTGTTGGTATGTCACTGCAGCTGCTTAGCCAGAAAACAAACAAACAAAGTATAAATTAAGAATTAGAAATAATATTTAGAATTGATGTGAGGTGGTTGAGCTTTCAAGTGATGCTTATGTATGTCCAGTTTCTTTCTCCTTGGAAAGAGTATATGGGGTTCAAATCACAGAACATCTCAAGTGGGGACCCATAAGGATCATCGAGTCCAACTCCCTGCTCCTCACAGGATTGCCTTACACTAAATCAAACATCAGCACACTTCCTGCCATCCTCAGGGGCTTTGGGCAGCAGCTGCCAGTTTGTACTGGGACAGGCCAAAGGGATCCCATTTGTACTGGAGTGGGGCCCAGCCTGTACTAGGAAGAGATGAGGGGATCTAGTTTGTGACCCTGTATTATTATTTTTTTTTTTTTATTTAAACCAGCAACTTGTAGAAGCCTCAGAGAGATTAAAGACGCAATCCAAAGAACTGAGGGATGCCCACCAGCAAAGAAAGCTAGCTGTGCAGGAGTTCTCTGAGCTCAGTGAAAGAATGGGAGACCTGCGGTCTCAAAAGCAGAAGCTGTCCCGGCAACTTCGCGACAAAGAAGAAGAGGTGGAAATGAGCATGCAGAAAATTGATGCTATGAGACAGGACATCCGTAAATCGGAGAAGATCAGAAAAGAGGTAGCTTGATAAAATAGCTAACAATAACATGTTTCAGCTGCTGTTTATCCAGTATCTCATATGTGATTGTACTGAAAAATTGGGACTGTTAATTGTTAACAATTATTTACTTTGTCCATCTGTAAGAAACTGCCCTAATTCCTCTTCCGTTTAACTTTGCTACATTTCACAAAGGAGATCTTGACTTTGTTTCTAAATATTTTACTGATATATTGGGAAATGAACCGAGGCTCATTTTTATTCTGGAGAAAACTACTCTTACTATATGCCCAGCTTCTTAGTTCCTTGTGTTTTGATTCTTGCAGACTCATAGTCAGCTTGAAACCTAATTGTCTTCAGGTGCTATAACACTGTTCAGCTGGAGGGAGGAGTAGTGATACAGATTAAATATGTGGTTTTCCTTCCTCTGTAGTTAGTCATTGTAGAGAAAGTCTTTAAGCAAGTTAATTTCCAATTAGTATTATAGGCAATTTATAGTTTTACATAAGATGAAGTGGATAACCAGAAGAGGGCAGAAGAAACAGCTATTGTGGTTAACCTGGAATATTTTAATCCCTGAAAAATCCTGAAATTTTGTGTATTCACTGAGTGAAGTGTAGAAGAGAAATTTGTTGCTTTATAAACATTGCTAGAAAACATCTGACAAATAGAAGGGTAGTCTATGAAAATGTAGTAAGAGATGAAGTTTCTCAGACTCTTATCCATGAACAAGAAGTGGTAGTTAAGTGGGAAGGGCAAGGGGCTGTGGCACCGTATTTGATTTGTAGGGCTGTGGAACCTTGTCTCTACAGCAGAATGCAGCAGGGACATTCAAATGTTGTTACTTATTCAGTTAAATATTTGCATGCAGGGTTTTATATTCTTCTGTCTTTGTTGTTATAAATTCCTCTGTTCTTCCTTTCCTAATGACTTATCAATCTTCTATTCAGAACATAGTCTGTAAGTTCATTATTTTGGCCGACAAATCTAAATACAATCCTTTTGAAAACAACTTTGCTAGTTGAATTTGAATGCAGAAAAATGAATCTTACTCTTCCTGTCAGGTTTTAAAACTGTGCCACTATTACTTGAATTGTAGCAGTTGCCTTACTTGCCACTAAATCTAAATTGTCTTTTTGATATCTTCCTGAAGTTAACAAATGGATGATTAAGCTTATTTTGTTCCTTAATTGCAAAGTAAAAGTGTTTAGTGTAGTATTTGAAGTATTCTGCAATAATTTGGCTCAAAGGTTGGAATTTTTAAGTTGACTTACTAGATAATGAGGCGTGGAGCTGACCTGTAAATGCGGGAGACTTTCACAACTGCAATGACTTCCTAGTACCATTTCCTTCTTTTAGCATTAATAGAAGCCATGCAGTTATCCCTGCATATACTTGGTATAGTTTGTATCAGTACAAATAGTCATACAGTAATAGTTCTACTGCATGAGACAGATGGATGCCTGGATCACTGAAGGGAAAACAATTATCATGACATTCTGAAATTACTGTTTTAGTGGTATAACATAAACTAGAAATAAGGAAAACTTTCTGCTCTTCCATATGGAGGAAAGGAATGACACAGATAGCCCTATCTTGTATTGAAATGACTTACAATTACTCACTACAGCTGGAAGCCCAACTTGAAGAAGTTGTAGCAGAAGCATCAAAAGAACGCAAGCTTCGTGAGCACAGTGAGGTCTTCTCCAAACAACTGGAAAATGAACTGGAAGCACTGAAGGTTCGTGTTTTTTGACAAATGTTTACTCATGGCATAAAAGCTGCAATAGCTTTGCTTACTCAACTGTTGATGCCTGTGGGAGACTCAAAAGCTACAGCATTACTAGAAATCTGACCTAATAAATCCTGTTAGGATTTATTTTCTTTTCTCGCTTGAAAGACTCAAATGTCTCATTGTATGCTAATGTCTTGAAAATGTCCAGTTTATGTAAATTCTAAGCGGATATTAAAGCAATGTGGTCCAAATCTGTTATCTCTGCAACCCTTTTGAACCCCTTATTAGGGTCATGTAAGCAGGAGCAATCACTTAGGGGGCCTAATGCTTGTATACAGCCACTTTTTTAATTAACTGGTGCCCAAATAAAAATTTTCCCAATTGCCACCAATTGGGCAGTTCTAATTTTAATTAATATCCCCAAAATATAGAGCTCATAGTCTCTTCCTGATGATTTCTCATCTTCTGCAGCTGAAGCAGGGAGGCCGGGCAGCAGGTGCCACACTAGAACATCAGCAGGAGCTTTCCAAAATTAAGTCTGAGCTAGAAAAGAAAATCCTGTTTTATGAAGAGGAGTTGGTCCGACGAGAAGCATCACATGTCTTGGAAGTCAAAAATGTGAAAAAGGAAGTACATGATTCAGAGAGCCATCAGCTTGCACTGCAGAAAGAGATCATGATATTAAAGGATAAATTAGAGAAAACAAAGCGAGAGAGGTAAGCTTTTGGGCTTGTTTCATTCATTATGGATTTCTTTTTTTGTGTATTGTATTGCATTGCATAGGTTTCTGTGCGAGTTGGTATTTAACTTAACTCTCTTTATTCCTTTTTGAAAATCCCAGTCTACTAGTGTTACAGTGTAAGCATTTCTATTTCTTGTTCTTAGGCACAGTGAAATGGAGGAAGCAGTAGGAACAATGAAAGATAAGTATGAGCGTGAAAGATCTATGCTCTTGGAAGATAACAAAAAGCTAACCACAGAAAATGAGAGGGTAATTATTCTAAGAAATATTTTTAAGCAGAATATAATTCTTAACTTTCTTACTTTCTGATGTCAAAGTAAAATACTCATTGATCAGAACAGGATCTATGAATGTTCAGGCAGTATCTGAATAAAACAGATGTTGTTTTTGCTATATAAATGTCAGAGATCTAGCTAAATAGTACTTTTAGCATCTCAGTATTTCTCTTTGTGAGATTGATTCCCACAACTCAGAGGGCACCACCTTGCAATTTCTTCATGAAGGCAGTATGGAGTGCAAAGCATTTACAAAAGAATGCCTGTCTTCCTGATGGCTTACAGTTAAACCTCATTCCTCTCAGTGACCTCTACACTTGCTTTTTCTTTTCCTTTGTTGTGTGTGAACTGGCAATGTTCTTCTGTGCTAAGGAGCCAGTCTTCAGTTCCACAAAAAAAGAACCCCTTCCAGCTCTTTGGTCTGTGTTAGAACTTCCAGATAGCCCAGGGTGGTCTTGTTTGTTCAGATTCTGTAGATGTGTAGACATATATATATGTAAAAAGTCTGAAACTGACATAAGTCACAAAGTGAAATTAATCTTTTATTTCAGCTCTGCTCATTTGTGGACAAATTAACAGCACAGAACAGACAGCTAGAAGATGAGCTCCAAGACCTAGCAGCAAAGAAGGAGTCTGTTGCACACTGGGAAGCTCAGATTGCAGAGATTATTCAGTGGTATGTGCTGTTTAGAGAACCTGGTGGCCTTTTTCAACTTCTGAAATATTGATTGGCTTTTTTTTATTTTATTTTATTATTTTATTTTTTTAAATGTATAGCTAGGCCCTTTCTCTGTGTCTGGGACCAGCAAAAGCATGGAACTTCTGTGTGCTGATTAACTGTTTCTCTTCTGCTTTCTAGTATTGCTGAGCAGTCATGCACGTGGAATTGTCAGATGCTACTAAGTACACAGGAGAGGGTTTTGGTGTCAACTTACTTTCTCTCTAATGTGATCATTAAATCACCCAGTTTGGAATATTTTGATAAACTCAGGAAGATGGTCATGATTTAAAAGGTCTGTATTAACATACAGAACCTCACTAGCTGTACTAGGCAAGCACTTGCATTTTATTTACAGGTCAGTTCTTCCCTCTGTTACTTGCTGGTTTAGTAAACTGTGTGCAGGTATTTTCAGCATGCAAAACAAGAAGGACTTGAAAGTAGCCTTTTTAAAAATTGAACAAGCAATATGCAGATCATGTTCTAAACAATAACAGTGAATCTCTGCAGAACTCTTGCTGATGGTGGAAGGCAAACTTCAGTTTCCTTAGCAACTGCCACAATCAAGAGAATCAGATAAAAGAAAAATCTGAAGCAGACAATCTAAGATATATTCAGTTTCTGGCTGCTGAGAGAGTTTTGTTTGCTCAGTCCATTTCTGTTAATGTCCCTAAATCCAGTGCAGACACTGATTATTTTGTGCTGCAGTATTTGGTGCTATGAGCCATGAAACTTTCAAGTAACAGTTTTATGCAATTGCACAACAGGGTAAGTGATGAGAAGGATGCTCGTGGCTATCTCCAAGCATTGGCTTCCAAGATGACAGAAGAACTAGAATCATTGAGAAGTTCCAGTCTGGGGTCACGAACACTGGTAAGAAAATAGCAAGCATTCAGGCTGTTCTGAGGACATCTAAGAAGCTGTGGTTTTACTTTCAGCTATCTGTTCGTAATCAGAATTTTATAATAAATCCTCTGCTCTGCTTTCTAGTTTTTGCCTATTGCTTGTGAAGTCCAGCTAGGTAATCTCATCTGAATTTGATAATCGGAAGTTGCAAGTGTACCATCCCTGCAAGTGTTCAAGGCCAGGTTGGACAGGGCTTTGAGCCTGGTCTAGTTGGAAGGTGACCCTGCCTGTGGCAGTGGTGTTGGAACTAGATTATCTTTAATGTTTATTCCAACCCTAACCATTCTGTGATGGTTCGGTGAATCACAGGCTGGGGTGTTTCATACTAATATCTGCCATCACAAACTGCTTTGAACAGTGCAGATGGGAGAAGAAACAATGATAAGGGGAGAAGAAACAATGACTTAAACTATTAAAGAGGAATACAGAAATGTATGGTAGATGCAAGTGAATAATGTTAATTGCAGTGTAGGATAACAAAGTTTAAGTTTTTCTTTTGTGAACATGTATTAGCTAGCTGATATTGTTACAAACTTGTGACACACTGAGAGCATATAGCTTCATTTACATGCAGAACAATGAGGCCTTACGCCATAACTTTCCTGCACAGTAGTAACATGAATTCCCAACAAAATCTGCAAAATAGAAGAGCTCTTACAAAAGAGTATTGTTTCAAAGGCAAAACCACTGTTTTGCCTTGGTAGGTACAAAATGTCTGCATAAGCAAAGGAGAGCTGCTTGCAGCCAGGCATGAAAGTTCATGTCCGTAGCAATGCCAGTCAGCACAGTCTGCCATGCAAAGAGTCCATCTGCTGCTGTTTTATACAGATAAAAAGTTACTCACTCCTTCCAAACCTATGAAGAGGAGAGATTATGAGCTAACATTTGCCTACATCATCAAGAGACTATTATAATATTGAGAAGTTTAATAGGAAAAAGATCGGATCAAATGCAGTTGGCATTTTCATCTTAGCTACAGCCAGAGTAAAGAACACTGTATGTTCTTTACATTACAGCTGGTTTTGTAACTTCAGCAGAACTTGATCTAAGACAATTATTTCTCAGTATAAAATTGCCTCTCGTTTTCATGACTCTTATTTACAAGTTCATGTCTGACTAGAGAGGCAATATCAAAAATGTAGTCCACACTTCAAAAATGCCAGGTAAAGCTCAGAATACTAGCTTTTGGGGTAGTAGAGCAGGATTGCATGTATGCAGAAGTATAACATATGCTACTTAGCAAGCCTGAGAATTGTTTAGGTAAACGTTCTGTGTATCTTGTGTATCTCAAGACCTGGATTGTTTCATATTTTTCATGGTTTTGCCACTTGGGTATGTTTTAGATTAGTGTGTTTTATATTAAATATTGACATTTAACTCCTGTTTAAATGCCTAGTATGTCACTGTGCAAGTTTTATACTCTTTTTTCAAGACTGAACAATGAAAACTAAGTATTTTCAATGGGTTCTCTCAGTTTGACTTCCATGCTTGGAGATACAGCATTCTGGTTTCAAGCATATTGTGTTAGTGATTTAACCAACACAAAAAATGCTCATTACTTCATTTTTGTGTAACATCTTCTGTCTGTTGACCAGTTTCTTTGCAGCACGTATGCTGTCCATAACTAACTAAAAGGGCATTCTTTGAAGCAGTGTAAAAACTAATTTATGTCTTTGAATAAGAACAGAAATATCTTTAGACAGTTGACATTAATGTTCAGTAACTTACTGCAACAGGATCCACTTTGGAAAGTGCGACGTAGTCAGAAGTTGGATATGTCAGCCAGGCTGGAATTACAGTCAGCCCTTGATGCAGAAATTCGTGCCAAACAACTAGTTCAAGAAGAGCTACGAAAAGTTAAAGATGCAAATATGTCTTTTGAAAGGTAATAAGGTCTTTGGTTCTCTTTGGCTTTTAATGTACTACTCTAAACTGCTGATCAGAACAGTAACTTTCTTAGAATGGCCCATTGGGCTTGGGATATTGGACTTTGCCAGAAAGATCCAATTCTACAGACAACATGTTTCTTACATAGTCAAATAAGAACTCTCAAGATTTCTTCAAGTGAACGTTTCACTGCAGTGAATAGCTTGGTAATGAGATACAGATCTCATTCTCCCTTGGGCACCTGAGGGGAAAAAGCATAAAAGCAAATCCAATTCCTTTTCTTAGACTAACCTGAGAATAGACATATTCTTGGGAACTAAAAGCCAAACTACTATTAGAATAATTTTGTTTGGCAGATATCTGCAATGATAGCAGGAGTCTAAAGTACAGTTTTCACTCTCTAGTAGACTAATGAGGTGCCTGTTCAGGAGGAAAAATAGAATTTATCAGCCTTAAAAATGGAAATATAAAAAAAAAAAATCACCACTCCTTGTTTTTCCAAAATGGGATGTAGGACCAGAAATTAAAAGAAACCTCTGAGATGTAGGACCTGAAATTAACAACCCTGTGCACCGCTGTTTCTGCCTTTGAGATATTTCACACTGCGTTTTGATCATATTGTGTTGCTTTAGCAAATTAAAGGAATCAGAAGCAAAAAATAGGGAACTGTTGGAAGAGATGGAAGGTTTGAAGAAAAAACTGGAAGAAAAATACAGAACAGATTCAGGTAATTAAAGCTACTGTGTTTTAACAGAGTTCTAGGACCACCTGTGCTTTTGCCTTTTAGCTAAGCCTGTTCTGCTTTGGGTTTCAGGTCTTAAACTTCCAGACTTTCAAGATTCCATTTTTGAATATTTCAACACTTCTCCTCTTGCACGTGATCTGACTTTCAGAGTGAGTTACTACATAAAATATCTATAAAAATGTGATAACTGAATTATATTTTTATTATGTAAAAGTAACACTTGGGCACTATATGGCACGTTTGGATCTGGCATATCAGCTAAATTAGCGTGATGCAGAATTGGATGCCCAGCAGCTGTCAGATAGCTTGGCATTTTGTAGAGAAGCTGGTTTCTTTGGGAAATATTCCCAGAAGTTCACATTCATTATTTTCCATTCTAGCTTCTTTGTTTAGGTTAATCTCAAATGTTTGGCTAAATAATTTATATTCAAGGTTTTTTGGAAAGGCTGGCACACCCTGTTACAAATAAAGGATTAAACGCTTTGCAGTTGGAAGATGCTGGTTAATACAAAGAAAAGTATTCACACAGTTCAAGGAGTGTTTAAACAGATATGTAAAATTGTTGGCTCCAGATCTTAATGTAGTGGTTAGAGTAGAAGGAACAGGGAAGAGAATCAGAACACCCACAGATGTTGGTATAAGAAGTTTATCGTGACACACCTTCTGATCCTAAGAATACTAATCATACAAATCACAGCTTCAAATGGGCGTTTCACTTTAAAGGGTTTGTGCATTGCCTGAGGAAGCAGCTGTTAAATGCACCATTGAATCATATTTCCTTACTTCATGAACTCTTGATCCTTGAAGATTTTCCAGGAGGTTTTTTGTTTGGGGTGTTTTGGTTTTTGTGGGGATTTTTTGGTGGGGTTTTTTTTTTTCTTCAATTTTTTTTCTTCCCCTTCCCAAAATGTATAGACAGTTTAGGATAAAACCAAGAGCTGTTATGTTTATGAATCCAAGTTAAAGGGACTCAGGTTAAAACCTCATCAGTCTGGTTAGATTTTGTATCTTAAATGTGTACTTCTTTCATATTGTCACTGTTGCTGAAAAGAAGTCTATGTCCATGTTGTGGTATTTGCATACACTTTGTGTATGTGCTGTTCCCAGTCACAAAATGTCCACGCTGGCTTTCTTGCTGAAGCTGCAAGGTGTACTATATGAATGAGATGGAGGGAAGAGAGAGAAACATGATATATGGTACTATCCAAATAATAATTTTTATCTACTGCCCTTGTTACTTTAAAACTTTGCTTTAAAAAGTACCAGATATACTTAAAACTGTAACATGTTGAGTATCAAGCCCATAACTAATCAGCAGTCCATTCTACAGATCCTGAAATAAATTCTAGTTGCTGTGGAAATGTAGGTGGCATTTTCTGACAAATTACATGAAGATTGCCAATACTGTACTTGGTGATTTCCATTAACAGTATTTTTTCACGTGTACTTATAGTCAGTGTTAACACTCTGGGTTAATTTAGTTTGGATAAATATCATTTGACCATACAAAACATTTTATTTAGCTAGCCTACTAATATCCTGTCTGAAGTTTTACTGTGGGTGATAAGTGATCATTTTTATCCCTCATATCCGTTACAACAAAGGATTCTGTTTCTTCTTCGTCTACATCTTCTCTGCTAGCCTTTTGGGAAGAAGTAAGTTTTTGCTAGTAGTTTTTTCTCCTTATTTTGTTGTGACCTGTTGTAGTAAAAAATAGCTTTCTAAAACTAGATATTTTGCCTTCTCGACTTCTGTATAAGTTAATCCACTAAACCTCTTTACAGGCTTACTTTTTTTATTTTTACTATCTATATGGCTAAAGCTGAATCACACTTAGCATTTTTAAATAGTTCATATTACATAATGGTAGAATTTTATCTTATTTTTCCCAGCTCTACCAATCAATTCATAACCCAAAAAATAACAAATATCTGAACATGTTTAGTGAGCTAACTGAACTTGAGCCATCTTCTTGTCTAAACTGGCTGGGAAGTGAGTGATTCATTACTTGTTGCCTTTAGTGCTAATTACATCATTGATGTGATGTCTAATCAGATGTTTTGTTAATCATGATTTCCATGATGTCCTTAGAGTACAGTAATACAGTGTCCTACTTCCACACCCAGCTGCTTTGCTCTGGAATTGTAGCATACTTCCCCCTTGTGCTGGCAATTAGTAGTTGCTAGTTTAAGTGTGAAATTAATAGAAGGCTTTTAATGGATGCTGTTCATCAATTTTAGTGAAATATACGTCAATGTGATTAAGAAGACATGATTCTTTTAATGACAGAGGCCAAATTTTAAACAACTTTTTAAAAGATTGTGTAGCACTACTTTAAGAATTTTTCTTGTGGCAGAATTGCTGGCTGCTGTGTGCTAGAAAAATCCTATTGTAGTAAGCTGCTGTGAGAAATAAGCTATTCCATGGCTGATTGCCAAGCTTCTCAGACATCATTCCATACCTGCATGTAAGAGATTAGACACAGCCTTGCTGAGAGAAGGTGGCAGTTGCAGCATTTATGCTGCCTTCGATGAGGTTTAGCATTTCAGTACTTCCAGTTTTACAGCTTTTCCATCAGGTGGCAGGGTTCATTTTGAGGAAAGATTTTATTTGTTTTTTTCCAGAGTGGAGAGTTGTTAAGAGTTATGTGTACTGCATATAGAAATCAGCACTGGTTTTTGTTTCCATCTTGTTGATGTGAGAACACTTCATCAGATCTGTAGTATCTAATCTAACATGTTTGCTGTCACTTTTTCAGACCAGTTCTATTAGTGAGCAGGAAACCCAGGGTCCCAAGTCAGAAGTTTCACCATCTACTTCGGTTGTAACTGCAGAGCAACAACAAGAAGTAAGAGCTGTTTGTTTTACCCTGCAGAAAAATTCATTAGAAAGTCTCTGTCTCGGTCATGATAAATACATATTGCAGCATTCATTACAAAGAAGGATTGAATGTTGCTTATTTACAATGTGTCAGTATTAATTGCAACTGCTTTGAGGACAGCTGCAAATGAAACCTCTTTGCTGGCTCTGTGTATGTTGATGTACCTCATTTACGTGTGTTTTCTGTATTACTGCTTGTGTGTTTGTGTGCAGGCTTTCCTGTGAGTGCTTTAAAACACAATCTGTTTCTCTTCAATCAGAATGGCAATGTTTATGATGATTAAATTGTTGATAATTAAAAAAAAAAGAAGGAAAAAAATCAGAACACAATAAGCTTTGCCACCCCAATCTTGAAACAAATTCTTGAAGCCTCATTTTGCTCAATTACAGTTTTTTGTGATTCAGGAACCAATTCGGCTTCAGAGGATGCCTGCTGCTCCTTCCCCCACCATTCAGTCCATTTCTCTAGCTGTACCAAAGGTAGGGGGACTGTGCTAACCTTATTCTAAAGAACAAAGGAAAAAATACCATTTATAAATTAGTCCTCGATGTTTGTTGTTGTCCTGTTTGGGTTTGTCATGTGTTTGTTTGTTAGGTCTGTGTTTATAATCAAATGTTTCCACATGCAAGTTGATAGGTTTTAATTTGTCAGAAGGGATGACAAAAAATGGTTGTAGGTTTGGGTTAGAGTGTCTTATGCAGTTGGAAATAAAATTGTTACTGTTGTCTTGCAATATCTTTTACAAGCTGCACTTACTTAAAAGAAGCCCAGGTTTTGTAATGTACACTGGAGGGTGGTGAAGGGAGTTGTTATATTACATAAGTACAGAAAGTGAAAAGTTACTGGTTTTTTTTATCTTAAATGTATCTTTCAGCCTAAAGCTCACCAGCTCAATATCAAGTCATTCACAAGCCCCACTCAGTGTAGTCACTGCACTTCTCTTATGGTGGGATTAGTTCGACAAGGTTATGCCTGTGACGGTGAGTCAGTTAAACTTTTTATGTTTTCAGCAAGTCCCTGAAAAATTGTCCCAAAACTCGAAATTGTTTTATGGCAACCATTTCTGTGGAGAGGGAATGAGAGGGGTAGCTGCCACTGAATGGTTCTCTTTCCTTTTGCATCATCATCAGCCTTCTAAAATCAAAGAATTAATATAAGCCCTTATGGTTCCCTTTCGTATTACTGATTAATTCTGCTACCATTAGTGGTGTTACATTGCGAGTTGGGAAGGGAAGTGGGGAAGGCAGGACTTTTATGTTTCTGTAGTGGAGAAGACATTGGCAGTGCTCTGGTAACATAAATCTGAGTCTGTCTATTTTGTGCTATCTTGATTGTAAACCCCATATGTTGGGAGGACTGTGTGCTGGTGTTTTGGCCTGTAGCCTGTCTTGCTGTCCGTTAGTTTTATTTACAATGCTTTCTGTGATGCATGTGTCGCTATTGATTTCCACATTTGAGTATATAGAGAAATTTTATTTGAAAATACTTATTTGTATCTTGATGAGAAACATGAACACACAAATCTGTTGAAGACAGTATAGTATAAATAACCTTATGTATTTCTGTGCCCAGCTTAGTTCTTGCTAGTGAAACCCTCTCCACTGACACCTTCAGTATCATATTCAGATTGCTTTGTCTGCCCTTCAGGGCTTTTTTCCTGGAAAATCTGGTGGTAGCTCTTCCCCAGGAGCACCTACGCTCTACCAGCACTTGCCCTGGGGCTTCCTTTTGTCTCCTGTTGATGACAGTTCTAAACTCGTGTTTTGCATCTCTTCCTGCAAGTTTGAATGGTGTTTTTCCCTTAGTGTAGCTATCAGCTTTGGGTTGGTTTTTTTCCCTCATATTTTGGTGAAACTCTGTATCGTTAGTTTTCCAGTTTGCCTCTTCTACTCCGCATTGTGATAGTTACAGGGAAAAAAACCCAAACAGAATCATTTTGACACAGGAATATAGATGACTCCCGTAGAACAGAATTTTGCCATGTTCTGCTCCCAAACACTTGCTTTTCCCAATTTCTCTTGTTTTTAATGCTGCAGACTATGGTAAAGTACAGCTGCACTTCCAGAGGCTTGTGGAACTGGCTACATCCTGTGGATTTTTCCCTATTATGTAACCTGTGTGCTTTGATATGCACAGTCCCAAATAATTATGATGCCTCCTGAAAGAGCTGCATTTATTATCTGGTCTTGGGAAGCACATGCAGTACTTTGCATGCGTGACTTTTTGGTAACCCCTGTCCTCCTGGGAGCAGACCGCAGCTCAAAGAACAAGCTGGGCAGGCTACTCTGGGCTGCTCTCTCTCCTGGCTGTTCCCTCAGGCATTGTGAAGAGGAGGTTTGTAGGCCAGTCTTTGGCTCTAGCAGAAAGCAGTCTGTTCCCAGGTTTAGTGGAATCCTTTGACCCTTTGTAACTACGGGACTGCATGTGGATAGGGTATCTGCCAAATGCCCAATTCTGCAAATATGGCTAGGAGGAAGCAGAGAATAGAGCACAATGCTGTGCCACTCTCCCGCTGCCATCCCACGCGTACTGGTAGAAACAGAATAACTGAAACAAACGAGGCAAACTCTCTGTGGAAAGATCTGGCCCATAAACTGTGAGTCAGATGCCTTGATATCACGTGTTAATTCATTACGCAGTTCTTGTAGTGTGTCTCATGTGAAGTGTAACAGTATACCTGAGTGTATATTCTGAGTTTCTTCTGTGTAGTGCTTCTGTGTGAAGTGCTTTATAGACAAGAGACCTAGAGACATCTGTCCCTTGCTGATGTCTCTGTGTGGTGTAAATGGTAAGAAAGGATGCAACAATTAGTATGGTTGAACTCTATGTCCCTTTCACCACACAGCATTTCAGTCTTTGTCCTCTGGTTTTTACTTTATTATGCTTTCAAGTCTATTGCCTGTGTTTAATAGTTTAATTTCCTCCCCCTGTCCCTTTTTTTTTTTTTTTTGTCAGTTTAGTTTTACTTTGCCTTTGCATTATTCTTGCATACTTGGATCAAATTAAACACCTACTCTATTTATCTTGTCTCCTATCACTGCCATGTAATTTTTATTCCTCCTTTATTAATACTTTTTCAATTCTGTGACTGGTTTAGTTTGTGCTTAACACCGTGAGGCTGACCACCTTCTTTGAGGCTGACCAACTTCTTTTCTCTCCGGAAAATGCTTTCATAAGTTGCCTTGAAATCTGGACTCAGTTCCTGCTCTTTGTGGAAGTAATAGGCTTAAAAGAGACAATAAAAGCACTTTGGAGAGCCTCATACTAGGTGTGTTCACTCCTTTAGCATAGTGGCCTATTGCAGTATTTGACTGCCAGTTTCAGTGTGATTAATTGATTTGCTGAGCGTAAGGGTAGCCTGTGTTAATCTCCTGTTATGACTGACTCATACACGCATTTCACTGTGCATTTTCTCTTTTGTACTTAGTGTGTTCATTTGCATGCCATGTTTCCTGCAAGGATAGCGCACCTCAGGTCTGTCCCATACCCCCTGAGCAAGCCAAAAGGCCTCTTGGAGTAGATGTGCAAAGAGGAATAGGAACCGCCTATAAAGGTTATGTAAAGGTAACAGTCTTTTGTTCTTGTCCAAGAGAAGAATACTAAACTACACTTAAAGCTATACAGCTTGGAACCTCTAAGTATGTTTAAACAGATCTAAACTGTGCTAAAGCCTTAGGGCTTTGTGTGCCATCTGTGTAACTTATTTAACCTTCGTTGCTTTAGATGTGAGGGAAACGGTTGGTTTTACTAGAAGAGCTAAAGGTTAGTAGATTAGTAGCTACAATGTTCATAAGCAGTGGAGGGGGGAAGCATGCTTTGAGGAAGAATTTCTGTCATCATTGATGTAAGCATAATATGAAAGGTAAACTGTCCTACCATTTTGGCATTTGTGGAATATACAAGCCCCATTATTTGTTCTAGTACTACCTAATACATTTATTAAACTGTAACAGGGAATGGCTGAACTTAAGGGAGGAAAAATGATTGCTTGATGACTTGACATTTTTAACTCTGTTTTGAAGGGCAAGTAGAACATGTTTTAATTCCATTGATCTAAGTATGAGTTTTTCTAAATGCCCTGCTTTCTGTGTCTACTACATGTGCTTACATTTAATAAGCAATCAGTTATTTATATGCAGGTCCCAAAGCCTACAGGAGTTAAGAAAGGGTGGCAGAGAGCTTATGCAGTTGTCTGTGACTGTAAGCTGTTCTTATATGATGTGCCTGAAGGAAAATCCACCCAGCCTGGAGTTGTTGCAAGTCAAGTCTTGGATCTCAGGTTTGTATTATTAAGACAGAGTAGAA